GGAGGTGACTAGGTGTCCAAGAAATGAGATTTCGGTTGATCCGAATCTGCATTTCTCGGGGTTGCATGTCAGCCCGTGTCTCTGTAGGCGTTCTAAAACTTTGTCTAAGTGGCACTGTTGTTCATCCGTAGTGTTCGAAAACACCACTATATCATCTAGATAAACGCGGACGAACTCGTCCAGGTACCCCCTTTAAGACTTCATCCATTAGTCGCACAAAGGTCATGGGGATATTTTTGAGGCCGAAGGGGAGGACTCGGAATTTGTATAGGCCCCCACGCGTCCGGAATGCCGTGTATTTTCGCGCGTCTTGCTTAAGTGGTACTTGCCAGTACCCCTACTTAAGGTCAAGAACGCTGAACACTTTTGCCCCTCTCATCTGACGTATCGGCGTGTTGAGGTCGGGCATTGGGTAAGCGTCGGACTCAGTGATATCAATGCACAGTCGGGGTGAGCCGTCTTTCTTTTTTGCTAAGACGATGGGTGTGGCCCACGGGGATGAGCTTTGTTCTACAAGTCCCTGCTCTTCCATGTCCCGTATCATGGTATCGATTGTGGCCTGTTTTACCGGTGGATAGGGATATAGTTTGAGTGCTATGGGTGTTTGATTTTTGAGGAGGATGTCGTGTTCTATTAACCTGGTGCGGCCTACCCTACCGTTGAATACGTCCGGATAGTTGCGTACTACTTCGGCGAGTTTCGCGCGTGTGTGGTGGTCACCGTTTATTGTTAATTTGTCGACATCTAGTGCTGGGCTGGGGGTGGGTATCCGACCTTTCCTGTTGTTCTCCTATTCGAACCTAAATGAATAGTGCTCGTTGTGTAGTCCCAGGTGACTTCGTTTTGTACGAGAAAGTCGTGACCTAGGAGCATGTCGCAGTATAAATTGTCCAGGATGGCTGCGTTGAAGGTGACCGTGAGGTCTCCGATTCTGGCTACGAATGTGGAGGTACCACTTGTCATTGTGGTGTGTCCATCCGCCATTCACACCTGAGTTTGTTGTCCGTGGTGGGGTGTGCCAAGTTTTTGTGCAGTGTTCGGGCTTACATACGATTTTTGTGCTTGGGAGTCGAGTAGAGCTGGTACGGGGCCTGACCTAAATTCGAGTTCGATCACGGGGGTCGGAATTTTGTCGGGGCATACTCGTTTAGCGTTATTCGACGTTGGTTGTGATGTATAGCTGGATAACTTGTTCTTAACCGCGTTATCGGTGTTCTGGGGAGCGGTTTGCACCGCCATTACCAGAGCATCCGTTTCGGTTACCTCTGTGCTATGAGTATGTAGTAGGGGTCGTTGATGCGGACCTTTGAGGTGCCGCGTGAAGTGGTGATGGTAACCTGCTACTTAACGAAATTGTTGTTGTTTGCACGGGTGATATATGTGAGGACGCCGAGTTTATCGATGCGCGTTTGATGGTTTTATCCCCGTCTGTATTGCCGAACGTTGTGTGTGGTGGCGTTGTGTGTGTGTGTGTGTGTGTGTGTGTGTGTGTGTGTGTGTGTGTGTGTGTGTGTGTGTGTGTGTGGTTGAGGTGGGCGGGTTCGGGAAAATTTTTTTTGCGCCGGTTTCGGCTGTGGTTGTGTCGCTGGTTCGTCAGGTGTGTACTCCAGGACTCCAGCGATCCGGCGGAGGTCTCCGAAAGTCGCTGGTCTTTGCAATCTTATGTGCGTGCGGTATTCGTTGCGCGTTAGTCCGGCTATCGTACCGACTAGCTGTGTTTCAGATAGTCCGGTATTGACGCGGCGTGCTAGTTGTTTTTTATGCGTCACGAACTCTTTTAGCGATTGCGTTGCGGTTTGTCGGACGGATACTATCTCGGCCCGCAGCCGTGACTGAATTTCCACGTTGTCGAATTTTTCTAAAAATTCGGCGCGGAACTCGTCCCAGGTGACGTCCAGTAGTCTGATGGTGTTCCACCAGGTACTGGCTGCACCCTTTAGCTGCTGTCCGATAATATTTGTCCAGGCCGAACTATCTATACGCGTTTGGTACATTATCGACTCCGCTTTATGTATAAATCTTGCCGGGTCCTCGGGTGTTGTCCCGTGGTACTCCGGCAGCGAATGTCTCGCTGCACATACGTCGTCATTTGGTATCAGCGTCGATTGTTGTGCCGCGTAGGTGTGTGTGGAGGAGGGGGCATGGTGTAAACTTGTTGTGTCGTCGAATCGTACTGAACGGTCGGCGTGTTGGTTACCCGCGGACGGTGGTTCGCGTGCCGCGGGGTACCTCGCTCCGTATTCCGTGTTGTTCGATAACACTGTGTGGCGTAGGCGGGTCGGTGGGGTTGTTCTGGTGCTAGGCATGCCATACCCATTTCTATGTGTCGCATTGTATCGGCAATGCGACGTTGGTGAGCGCCGAAACGGCCCATCCAGTTTTCGAGCATGGTCAGTCGCGAATCCAGACTGTGCCCATGCGTCGAGTTTTCCGTCCCTTGCCGTACCTCCTTAATTATAGATTGACCCGTTTGGATCGTGTCCATATCTTGTTGGTGTGTGGGTGTGGGTGATGGTGTGGGTGTTGTGTTATTGGTGGTGTTCGGGGTTTGGGCGTGTGATGACTCGATCTGTATGAGCGCGGTTTGTCCGACGTCGGGTACCTGACCTGTGGCCGAGTTATGTCCGGTCAGCCCAGTGGGTTCCATAGGCGGAAACAGGATTTCGTTGGCCATGTTTTTCCGTTAACGCCTGCAAACCACGTTTTTGTCGGATCGCGTTGGTGACTTTTTTCCAAATCGCGCAACGGGGTTTATTTGGGGGTGGTAGTAAGTGGTAAGAAAGTTTTCACTTACCGGTGATTCCTGTTCGGGGAGCCAGTTGATGCGGCCTTGTATAACGCCGCGTGGATGGTGGTGTGGTGGTGGTGACCGACGGTGAATCTGTCGGTATAAGGCCAAAATAAAGAAAAAAAACAAAAAAAATAACAACGAAACGGACGCACTGGTGTGACTGGAACTGTTTATTACTATAAGAGTCACAAAAGAGCATACAATATAATATTTTACGACGGTATCGGTTACACGGGAACGTGTGTGGACTTCGGAGGTCTATCCGGGTCGGTGTCGTGAGGACGAGAAGAGAGTCTTGACAATCCGGTTCACCGGACGGCCGGTCGACGGTTCCAGGCGCGGGTGTCGCGCGCCGGCGTCGATTGGCGGTTTGATTGAGAAGCCACGGCGCGGCTTCCGCGCAAAGGCTGTTTGAATTCAAACAGATTTTGCGCGGGACCGCGTCACATATTTAGGCAAAGGAGACTGTGGTGTTACTTTTATTGGAGAACGTTTAGGTGTATTCATATCTTCCATTAGCCTTAGTAATTCTAGATTACAAGGTTTATAAGGAGTTGTGTAAGTAGGTATTATCGCTTTTCGAATATCTTCATCAGTTTTAATATTTATTTCTTTAACTTCATTTACAATATTTTTTAATTCATTTGTTACAGGTCCAAATGGTTTTCTTTTTCTTCTTCAATATATATGTTTCTTAAAGCTGCATTTTTAAGCCCCTTCTTCAGGTTATTTTCAAGTTTAATTATTTCATCTGCTTCTTTAACAGACGTTATATTATCTTCTCCTTTTTTCGTTACAAAGCCTCCCTTTTTTCAATTTTTCGTTACTTTTCCCCTTTCTTTTAAAAAAAATATTCCTCATATCTTTTATATCCATTTAATAATAAAAAATTTAATAAACGTTAAAATATATGTTCGACAACCATTATTTAAATAGACGTTCTGCGTTGACGTTATACAGTTTTGTTATGCGTTGACGTTTGCGTTAATGTTTATGTCTAAATTCATATTTTAATTTTTATACGTCTTCTTCAGGTCATCTTCAAGTTTAATCATTCTATCTTCTTCCTTAACTGACATTATATCTTTTCCTCTCATTACAGATCCACCTCTTTCTATTTTTTTAACTCCTTTTAAAAAAATATTTCTCATTTTTTCATATCCATTTAATATCAAAAAAAAAAATGTTTAATATCATTATTTGTATAGACGTTGACGTTATTAGTTGACATTGACGTTATACGTTGACGCTATGAGTTGACGTTTACATTGGTGATTTTTGTTTATGTTTATCTAAATTTATGTTATTGAATTTATTATAAATTTGTTTATCTAATAAATTAATCGATATAAATCCAAACTTATTTTTCCAACAAATTGAAAATAAAGGTTTAAATTTATCAAAAATTAAAAAATTACTTATCTTATCTTTCCATATTTTCCTAATATAAAAATCCGACTCCTCAAATAAAACTAAAAAATTACAATTTTGTCTAATTTATCTTGCCTCTAATAAGGTATAATTCTGGCCAACATAAATAAATGAAATATTTTTGGATCTGGATCTTACAAAATAATCTTTCATTCTTTCCTGTTTTTCTAAAATATAATCATCAAAAACAACTAAACTATTTGGTTTACAATCATCAACAGATATTATCTCTTCATTGGTTATATATACCTCTTTATATACCTCATTTCTAAAATTTGCAAATATTTCTTTCATACCTTCATAAATTGGCTGCTCTATATTTTTTGTAAAAATATAAAGATTATCAAATGGAACCCAATAATTAACAATAATATTAAATAATAAATTAGTTTTTCCTGATCCAGAAGAACCTATAATCAAACAACGCATAGGTCTTGGAAATATTGAATTTGATATATCTTTATCTTTAACTAAATTAAATACCTTAATTTAATAATTATTATCCATTTAATATAAATAATCCTTTTAAATTTTTTTCTTATTAATAATATATATATATATATGTTACGGTAAATGATGTTAAATGGAAATTAACGTAATTCACCGGTTATTAACGTTATTTACCAAATACACAGGTAATTATCGTTATAAACCGGATAATCACATTAATGACCAAATACACAGGTATTTGTTGTTCTAGAATAGATATGCACGTGAATCTCAAATACCTACTACAAAATAGGTATTTTTAAAAATAGAAAAAATGCTTTATTATTTTTTATTTGTTTTTACAATTTGTACTCCCATGACATTTACTATTACATAATTTTTCAGCCCCACGGCAGGCACAATGTTTATTATTACAACCAGTCTTGCAATGGCAACGCTGGTACCCTTGTGGGCCCGCAACCGAACTATTACTAGCTGCTTCCCTCAGTGTCAACTGTCTATCACCTGCTAATTTTATCACATTGTACATGTCTAATAGATTTTCTTCGCAAGCAGCTATTTCTTGGCGTGTGTAATTATATTTAAGAAAACCATGTTCCGTACCTATAAAATAATTAAAAAAATTTTAATTTTAATAATATATTTTTTCATTAAGAATTAACTTACAGAGTTTGTATAAGTCATGTTCAACTTGGGTGACAACTGCCAGTATATTTCGCGGAGAACCACGAGCTCTATCAACGTCCGGTATAGTTACACGTACAGTTGTGCCTATTTCAAGCTGAGGAAACTTTTCTTTGGAAAGTTTCATCATTTTCTCTCCTTGTTTTTCTAAATTTTTTTTTGAATTTTTACGTTCAATACAAATATTTTCTTGACGATCATCTAAAAAATATTAAAAATAATTTTTAAATATTTATATTTTAGTTTTATTTGTGTTATATTTAGAATTCTGAAATTTATTGTTAAATAATTAAAAAATATTTAAGTACCAAGTTCCGAATTTTTTTCTACGATTTCTATGATTTCATTTCCGATTTCGTCTTCTTCGGTGATTGGTTCATTGGTTATTTTTTCTAAATCTTCTTCCGTAATGACCTCTTTTATTTCATCGTTTGGAAGATTAGATGACATTAAACCAATTCTAGCCGTGCAGCCAAACATCGCTTCATATGGCGTTCTACCTATGCCTAATATGTAAATAATAAACATTAAAAAAAAAAATATTTTTATTAACTATTAATAAAAATAAGTAAAATGTTAAAAGTACCTGAATGAAAAGCTCTATTTTTTTTAAACTGAATAAATCTTAATGCCGATGGCCAATCGGAACTATTATTATCACCCATCCAAGCAGCTAGCATTTCTTGGACGTCTCTATTGGCTCGTTAAATACATCATAAATCGTCGTAATAACATCATTGTAGTCTTTAGTAGACAAAAATGAGTTATTATCATCTCGATGCTCGTAAGAATATTTTTCATTTTTTCGTTGAAAGTTGTGCGAACAGTTTGAATATCGATAGCCATTTTAAATAAGTGGTAAATACGACGACAGTTGTACACATACTAAAGTAATAATCTATATAAATTTTCGTTACGTATGATATTTTCAAATGTAATCTCCACGGCTATAACGATGTTATAATATGTATAGTAATATTATAGGCCCACATGTATAGGCCCAGTGTCCACCTTATCTGTGGCCGATAAAGTGTTATTGATTTACCCAATTAGTACCTACCACAATTAGTTTAGCGATCACTTTATCATTACTCGTTGGACATTATTTTAAAATAAAATCAACATTTCCCAAATCATACGGTTATTAACGTTATTCACTAGAAAATAACGATAATTCCTACATCCGTAGGTAAATAACGTAAATAACCGGCGAATAACGTTAATTTCCGATGTAACATCATTTACCGTAACATATATATAAATAAAAATGTCTAATTCAATTGAATCAGTAAATTTAAGAACACGGTTAAATATACACGGTAACAAATATAAATATATTAATTTATCAGACCTAGTAATTGACAAAAAATATGAAGTTACTGCTTTTGAAATCATTAACGCCAATGGACATGATAGAGTATCTGTTATATTGGACAATAAATATAAGCTCTTTTTACCAGATAGATATTTGAAATTATTACTGGAAATATATATGAAATGAATGATAAAGAGTGGTCTACACTTTTCATCTATTACAGATATAAAAAAAACATTTGTTCATGGAGGTATATACGTACCATCATATAGAGTTTCAAGGTGATACTCTAAACACAAGTGTAATTAATGTATTAAAACAATTGAATGCAGAAGCTTACAATTACAACTATATAAAATTATCTGATTTAATTATTATTAATGAACATTATAAAATATCAACACTTAAAAAAAAAATACAAAATATGGTGAAAGAGTTTCTGCTTTATTAGACAATAGATATATACTATTATTGCCCTATAGATTTAATTATAGTATTTCCGAGATAGATATAGACAAATATGATGGGGAAATATATATGATATACAAAGGTAAAAAAAATCTTGAAGATGGAAAATCAATCCATTTGATAGAATTTGAATAGTCGCAAGACCAGCTTGCAAAATAGCAAGCAATAACTTAACATTTTTTTGTTATTAAATGAAATTAATCAAAATCATAAATGGTTCTATACATTTAGAACATTATATACATAATGAAAATATGTCTATTGGGTTTTATGCTTTGTCTCTTACCAAGTCTGGTGATTTAATCAAAATATAAAATGACTGTCAAATAACAATTAACACTAACGTAATTTACATTAAAAGTGGTATTTATACTATTGAAAAACTAAATAAATTAATAAATCCATTAATTATCTCTTTGATTGATAAAAAAATTAAAATAGAATCTCCATGTTACTATAATTTAGATGAAAACTTAAAAAAATATTTAGGCTTTTAAACATAGATTTTGAAATAACAAGTATCAATAGAATAATTTACTATCCTACTAGTGATGAACATTACATAAATATTGAACAAGAATGCGAATTTACAATAGAAAAAAAAGAAATAGAAAATACCTATCGGGTTATACTCTATGAATGATATTCAAACTTTATTAAATCTTAGCAAGGGTGTATGTAATACTAAACTTACAGTGATTAATAAATATTTAGAGTTTTTAACTAACTATGAGTGTACTTTAAGCAATTATTTAGCAAACTGTTTAGGGATTCCGTTGTTCAATTCTTCCTCAAATTACAATTATGCTGATCATTCATTTAAACATAGTGTAACTGGTACATAAATACCAAAATTTTATACTAAAAGTTTCTTAAAAAATATAAATGGTGTTATTGAAACAAAAGATGGCAAAACTGTAATAGAAAAGAAAAATTACACTATTGATCAATTAAATAAATTAATGCCATAGGATATAATAATACTTCAGGAGAATAACTATATCACAATTAAATCTAATGTTTTTTATTTATTGGATGAACATTTAAGAACAAGCTTAGGATTAGGTAACATATATAACTATAAACATATTGGCTCGGATATTATACTCGGTAATTATTTTGAAAATAAAATTATCGAAGTACATTATAATGTAATTGAAAATTCCATTTCTAACCATAAAACTGAGCAATATTTACATATAGACGATGATATTTTATGTGTTATTAAATGTGATACGGGTGGCCAATATATAGTTAATGACATCAAATATATTCCTCTAAATGTAATAAATTTTAAACATATTAAATTACTTATCACCGGTCAAGATGGTATTGAAATAATATGTAATGACTTTGTTGCATATTTAATTCTAAAAAAACAAAAAAAAAACCAAAAAAATAATAATTAATAACTGAGAATTTTTTTTAATACAGAAAACTAGATGAACATCTGGATCCAAAAGCAGTGAGTGACCAAATAATATTATTATCATTAGTATTATTATTATTGCTCAAATTACATTTACATTTTCATAAATCTATCTATATTTATCTGCTAAAACAAATAAGACCTTAAACACACCTTTCTAATATAAATAAATAAAATAAATAAATAAATTTTAAAAATGAAAACCTCATTAAATTATAAAAATAAAATAAATAAAACAATCTTAAATCCTTTCTATAACCTAGATGAATCAATTTTTGAAGAACAAAGTAACAGCTCGTTAAATAATAAATATGATTTAATAGAAGTAATTAATATAAGAAATCAATTTACAACAAAATTCAATATATATGATGCTACTTTTAATATTAATTTCAAAGAAGGCTTAACAAAAGATCTTATATCAGCAGATAAAAATAATAAAATTAACTATATTGATAAAGCATTAAAAGAAATGTTAAATATAGCAAAAAGTCAATCAAAATATGAGAAAGGCGATAAAATAAATATCATACTATTTAATGATGAGTTATTTAATTGTATATCTACGGGCTTAAAATCTGAAAAATTCTTAGTAAGTCTTCAGGAAAAAGTATCTGAAATATTAACATCGGATCAAGAAATTGATATTTCTAAAACCAAATTTGTAGTTCAAGTAGTAAAAATTCCTAAAGGGGCCAAGGGGAAAAAAAATATTAAATTTAGTTGATGACATAACAAAAAAATCTAGTATTATTAGAATTAATAATAATGATGATAATTTATGTTGTCCAAGAGCTATTGTTGTTGCTTTAGCTAACTCTATAGAATATTCTGCTAATAAAACAAAAAATATCTTAGGTAAAGAATTAAATGAAAATCAAATAAAATATCTTAAAGAGGGTAGATCAATTCAAAAAGAACTTGCATTAAAATTATGTAGTTTACTAAAAACATATAACTCACAAGGCTTTACGTTAGATGATATTTAATATTTATAATGTCGAATGTATTTTAAAAATTCAAATAAATATTATATGTGCTCAAAATCAAAATAAGATAATTTATAAAGGAATAGATAGAGATATAAAAATCTATTTATTTAAAATAGGTAATTACTTTGATGTCATTACTAAAATTAAAGGATTTGATGGCGTTTCTTATTATTGTGATAAATGCAATACACCATATAGTAACAAAGATAAACATAAATGTAAAGATAAAAAAGAAATATGTTTATTATGTAAACAACTTAAACATTTAAGTAAAAAAGAAAGAGTGTACTGTGAAAAATGTAATAGATATTGCTTTAATCAAGAATGTCTTGAAAGTCATCAGGAAGTTTGTGAAGTAGCTTTTAAATGTCTGGTTTGTAATAAAATCTGCATGAGAAGTGGTGAACATAAATGCGGAATAGAGAAATGTAGAAATTGTTGGAAAGAAGTTGAAATAGCAAAACATAAATGTTACATTCAATGGCTTAGTCAGAAAGGAGGTAAGTGTAAAAGAGAAATTTGCTTATGTAAAGGTAACGTTGATGAAAATATTAAAAATATTGAAGATTGTAATCTTAAAGAACTAAGAATTAAAGCAAAATAAAATAAAGTGAAACAATATAGTAAATTGAATAAAAAAGAATTATTAGATTTTCTATACCCATTTCCTTTTGCAAATGAGATTTTTGGTGAGAGTGAAGAACCAAAACTACCAAAATGTACCTATACAGAAAAATATTTATTCTTGGATTATGAGGCTCAACAAGAAACTGGTACACATATTCCAAACTTAATAATTGTTTCTGATTTTATAGGTAAAATATACAAATTTGACACAAATGATGAACTATGTAAATAGTTAATATCAAATATACATGCAAATTTTACATGTATAGCACACAATTCGAAAGCCTATGACTCTCAATTTATACTAAAATATTGTGTTGAAAATACTCTTAAGCCTGCAACAATTTACAATGGTTCAAAATTAATGTTATTAAAAATTCCAGTAATAAATCTAAAAATTATTGACAGTAGTAATTTTATTCAGGGACCCTTAGCAAATTTTCCTAAAACATTTGGTTTATCAGAATTAAAAAAAGGATTTTTTCCTCATTTATTTAATACTGTAGAAAATACTAATTATATTGGGCCTATTCCTGATAAAAAATACTACTGTTTTGATCAAATGAAACCTGAATTAAGAGAAGAATTTTTAGAATGGTATTTACTAGAAGAACAAGAAAATTACATTTTTTACAAGAAGAAAGAGCTTTTAGAGTATTGTACATCAGATGTTGACATATTATTTCCATTATGTTATATATGTGCTTCTGAACAAATTAAGAAATGTACTCATTCTGAAGATGAAAGGCAATTTATAGGAACTTGGACTACAGATGAAATTAAAAAAGCTCTGGAGAAAGGATACATTATAAAAAAAGTCTATGAAGTATGGAACTTCAAAAAAAAATCATCAAACTAGTTTAAAAAATATGTTAATTATTTCATAAAAATAAAATTAGAAAGTTCTAAACATAAGTACAATTCTAATGAAGAGTATATAAAAGCAATTTTTGATGAAATGGGTATTTTGTTAGATAAAGATAAAATATGTTATAATCCAGGCAGGAGAGCTATACTGTCGTGCTAAGCGAAAAAGCAGTATCTCCAATTTTGGTCGAAATTGAGATATTGCTATACGGGGGTTAACAATGTGGTTTTTGTTGAAAGTGAAGCTTGACGGACTTATGATGTTAGCATTAATATAATAAGTAATAACACGACAATATGATTATGTATAAGTATAATATATGTATAATAACGTACAACTGGACAATTAAACTGTGACAGTACACACACATCGTATACGCTCTGTACAACGACGCCTGTGCAAGTGAATATTACATACATCAAAGGCCCTATATATATGCACGACCGAGGTCATTTTACATCCGTGAAGAGAGTGAGTCTTATGCTCGTACATAACTAGTTACTATATTGTACACACGTGTCAAGGCTGACTACATGTACTACATATTAATTGTATATTTCAACACCCTCCCTTAATTAATAATCTCTTTAATTGTAGTCACTCCTATGGCTGACCGCAACTTCTCGAATCGTTCCTTAAGGGGATTGTATACAGATGCAAAATTATAGTTATGGAGACCAAAAAGCGAGACAACAGTGTGGGACTTTGGGTGGTCGGATTTTATTTCTGAAAACTGCTCTGAAATCGTCGTTTATTCTACTAGTGATCGATCGAAGCATTTTTTTTTAAGTCATTAAAGGTCGGGATATTTAACATTGAAATCTTTCTTTTTTAAACATTTCTAATAATAATAATTTTGATACTAGAAACAAATCCCTCGATCGATCACTTGTAGACAAATCAAGTAAATATTATCTTTTTTCAGAATTAAAATCCGTCCGTTCAATGCCGTGCAATTTTGTCTAGCTTATAAGCATTTTAGACATTAACGATACCGTCAATATCTAAAAGACCTCGTCTGCCAACGCCTATTGACGTTGCGGACAATATTAGAACTATTATTTACTCCCACCTAATACCAAAGCGGCAAAGCTATTATTTATAAACGCATCACGATAAACGACCGCACCGGCGACCCGCACCCAAACACGGATAACGATAATATTTGATATTTATACACTATAAATATAGAAATTGATTAGGTACGAATATAATTGTGTTATAATATTATTTACATGTGTTATCGACTATCGTCTATCGGCCTACCGCTATGCAGCTACTTATTATTATATTAATTTGTACTAATCGGTAATCAACCAACGAGTCTGGCGTCTGTCGTCTGTCGTCTGTGTGTTGATATTTTTTTAACAATATCTATACTTCTTACAAACTGTATATTATAATGGACGAGATTACGAATTGGCGCAAAGGTAAAAATCGTACACTCTCCTGTCGAAACGTAAAAAACACAAAGGAAATATTGCAGCTTTGAATGCTTTAAGAAAGGTATAATACACATTAATAAATTATTGTGTTTAATTTGAATTCAATGATAAATCATTCTACCTATATGCCAGTGCCGCATTTAGACATTTTGTGCTGCGGTGAAAAAAAAAAATTTGTCGCCCCCGTATGAGGCCTAACCCCATATATGGGAAATATGGAGGATAAATTCTCATGAACCTTTTAGATTTTGAGCAAAGAAAAGAATATTGTTTTACAATAATGTGTTTTTTTAAAAATATTGTTTAATATTTTCATGAACACTCCCACCCCCCGCCCCCCGTAGATACAATTGAGTGTATTCCACTTGAGTCCTGCTTATAATTTACATCATATTATTTTTTTTTTTTTTTACATATTTAGGTATTTACTTCATGGATCATATTAATATAAACTATGTGCAAACTTATGGTTTATTTTTTTAAAAATAAGTACAAATATTAATAAGAACAATATAAAAATATAATAAAATATTTGTTTAGGTACCTAAATTTTTCTTCTACTTTGTAGTGTAGCAAATTCATTGATAATATCATCAAATTCAATTTTAGCTGTTACATCAGATTCTATATTCATAATAGCTAAATCACTGAGTCTCTCTGCTGAGATACAAGACCTCAGATATGTTTTGACACCGTTCGGTCGAGCAATTACTTACAGGAGTACATAATAGCATTCTGAGAGATACATCTATATAAGAGTACATTCCTATTAAATCATTTTTTCTCAAAAAACCACACATATCCTGGATAGTCTTAGGAGCCTCGTCACCGATACTTAATAAGTGGCTCCTAAAATGAACACATTCATTAGCAAATAAAGTACTGAGATCATCTTTATATTCATTTTGTAGTATTTCAGCATTCTTTCGGACTTTAATTGATGTCATCTCTGTTAATTTGAAAAAGAAGTTGTAATTTTTAAGTAGATTTTCATATTTTTCATTTCTTTTTTCTAGTTGTGACCGCAGTTGATCAAGTATGACAAAATAAGTTTTCACTTTAAAATCAGAGTATTCAACTGTTGTTTCTTTAGATGGCCCTTCATCAAAAAATTGTTTTCTTATTTTTAATCGTTTGGTACAGGATTGAAACTGCTTAATTTTACTTTTTTCAATTGCACATTGTTTAAAATACTCATAGTTTTTATCAGAGCGTAAATCAATGATATATGTTATTAATGATTTATACAATTCACACACTACACCCAAATCGATATTGACAGCTTGTAATTTCTTGCTCGTTAAGTTGAATCGGTGTAATATTTGACCCCAGAATATAGATAGGAATGCAGTTTCTAAATTATTTAACTTGTTGAGAATTCCACTAGCTTCATTTCGAGTAAGTGTTTTCTCAGTATCATCATTATTTATTAAATTTAATGCATTAATAATTAAAGACCAGTTTTTGTTCAGAGATTGGCAAGCGTCATCTCTAGCAGACCATCTTGTTTCTGAAAGTCCCTTAACAGAAGCGTTTAGAACTTTCCAGCGGTGAGTAGAAGCTGTGAAAAACCTGTAAACATTTTGAAGTAAATTGAAGAATAAAACGGCTTGAGTACAACAATCAACTGCATTAGTTCCAACCAGGTTAAGGGAATGCGCAGAGCATGGTACAAATTTTGCTAAGGGATTGGCTTCTTTTATTTTTGCTTGCAGTCCGGCGTAACTTCCAGACATATTGCTGGCGTTATCATAAGATTGGCCTCGAAGATAATCAATATTTAAGTCATATTTTTTTAATACACTAAATACAGCATTTGCCATGTCATCCGCTTTATGTCCTATTTGATCTAAAAAACATAAAAATCTTTCTACTGGTTCCCCTTTATTGTTGACATATCGAACACAAAATGAAAGCTGGTCGATATGAGATATGTCTGGTGTAAAATCAACACTGATCGAGAAGTACCGAGAAGCTTTAACTTCTTGAATAATTGTATTCAATACTTGTTTAGACATTATATTGATAAATTGCTCATATATATTATATGATATGTATGATGTATTACCTTTTCCTGGGTTTCCGTATGTCTCTAAATGGTTTGATAAGAAAGGATCAAACTCAGCCAATAATTCAAGGGCCATAAGAAAATTACCATTGTTATTACATCCTATTTTTGAAGTTGTTCCTCTAAATGCCAATCCCCTGGATGATAAACGTTTAACAACAGCCACAACTCGTTTTAATACATTTACCCAGTATATACGTTGAGTTTCTACTTGCGTCACAAGATTGTTATCGATCCGACCATGTATGTTACCACGATCTTTCATCTTTATGATATTTGAACGGTGATTCGAAGAATTTGAGTGTTCTAGTATACGCTCCTCAGCCTTTTGCCAATTAGAAAAACCAGTTGTAGCAAACACTGATTTGTTACCAAATAATAGACATGGACCGCAAAATATAACACCTTTGCTCTCAGAGTACATCAAAAAGTCTCGTTTCAATTTTTCTCCATTTTTTAAAGTGACCTGAAGATACCTTAAATTAAAATACCTGTAGTAGGTTTTTTAACACCTTTTTGAGATTTAATATAGGGTCTTTTTGACTTTGAAAAATTCATACTGGAAACATTTTGAGAAAAACCATGAATACAAAAATAATTTTGAGTAAAATTGTTTATGGACCATAGAGCTGGATCAGACCTAATAACATAATAATATAGTATAATATATAAATGTTATCAATTTTATTTCAGAGATGTATATTTTTATATCTAGTTTTAAAATTTATATTTGTTTTACCAATAAATATTTATCTCAACTATATTTAAGCTTATACACAACAGCATTATCAAAAAAATGAAATATCTAAGTTCAATTACAGTTAATCAAAAAACAAATTGGATAAATTTGTTTATGCCGTTTTATAAATTAACAGAGCTGCATTTTAGTATAATTCTCATTTTATTGTTTATTTTAAGTAAACTAAATAGTTTTATTTAAATTATGTAATGAATATTTATAAATAATTAACTAATTATAGCAAATAAGTAGGTATCATTTTAGAACTATAATTTAATTTATTCAAGGGTTTAATATTTTTTAGTTTTTACCTACGACTTACCCAGGAATGACATTGTACTCTGCTACTTTTGGAAATGTGTTCTGATCTACCTCTTGAATGTCCATCGCAATTTCTTCAGAAACTTCTGTTTTTGAATAAAATATTTTTAATTTTAATACAAATATGTAATCAAAATTATAAAAATATGAACTTACTACCATTGTGAACAGCCTCAGTTACTTTTGGAAATGTGTTCTGATCTAGCTCTTGAATGTCCTTTTCAATTTCCACAGGAACTTCTGTTTTTGAATAAAATATTTTTAATTTTAATTTTTTAATACAAATATGTAATCAAAATTATAAAAATATGAACTTACTACCATTGTGAACAGCCTCAGTTACTTTTGGAAATGTGTTCTGATCTACCTCTTGAAGGTCCATCGCAATTTCTTCAGGAACTTCTGTTTTTGAATAAAAGATTTTTAATTTTAATTTTTTAATACAAATATGTAATCAAAATTATAAAAATATGAACTTACTACCATTGTGAACAGCCTCAGTTACTTTTGGAAATGTGTTCTGATATAGCTCTTGAATGTCCTTTTCAATTTCCACAGGAACTTCTGTTTTTGAATAAAATATTTTTAATTTTAATACAAATATATAATCAAAATTATAAAAATATGAAATTACTACCATTGTGAACAGCCTCAGTTACTTTTGGAAATGTGTTCTGATCTACCTCTTGAATGTCCTTTTCAATTTCCACAGGAACTTCTGTTTTTGAATAAAATATTGTTAAAAAAAATGTAAATACTTCTTTATGAATCAGTAAGTAATGATCTGAGTTATTATTATTCAATAATAAAATTATGTTATAATATTACAACTCAGTTTTTTGGTAAACATGGAAATTGACTAGACGTGACAAAGTCACAATATTTAATTCACAAATGGTATGTACCTATTAACTACTTGATAGATTATACAATTCTATTTTCTAATACAAATTAAATTTTGATTTATCACTAGACACATTTCATCAAGTTTTGTGAAAAATATAGTATATTATACATAATACATGGTTTAAAATCTAAGGTTTTACATATTTTAAACTATTTATTTTTGCATATATTGAGCTTTATAGTGCAAAGTTAAGAGCTCTAATTATTAATATATAGGTAGGTCGTAGGTATATTGTGACTTGTAAGTATAATTTTAAATTTATATTATATAGTGTAGGTAATAGGTATTTATGTATATTGTATAATTACCTTCAACTGTTGATGTTTTTTTAAGAAACATGTCTTGAATTTTTCTGCATTTCTTTATAGCAATTAGTTCTTTTTTGTCCTTTAACAATGCTCTTTTTCGATTTTGATATCCACTTAGTTTTTTTTTTCCAGTCATAATTAATTTAAGTAATATAAAACAAATATGTAAATATATAATAAATAATCAACAGCTCCGGTCGCCGAGTGGGTAGGTAGTGAAAGAAACAATATTAATCGGTAATCACAAATTTCAGACATTCCGTGGTTCGAGTTTGTTGACTAATAATTGTACTTCTGTAATTGGTTGCGGGCATGCCGCACGCGATAACAAAGTACGCCGTATTATATAAATAACTTATATCTATTGGATAACAACAAATTTGCGAACTATTTTTAAGTATATTAATAATTCTCGAACGCTGATAGCTATATTTCTATAAATACATTAGTTGTTTTAATTTCAAACAGCATAATACATTAATATTATATAATACCTACTGTTGTCTGTTATTAAAATAATTTACATTTTAAAAGTTCATTTTTCATTTTATTTTTATTAATTTTTTTATTTCCGACCACAAAATTTCGGCGCCCCCAAAATACTGGCGCCCCGGGCAGTTGTAGCCAGTGCCCCCCCCCCTAAATGCGGCACTGCTATATGCATAGGTGCAATTAGGGTTTAATTTTTAAGGGTGCTAATTTTTAAAATAAATGACTTATTTTTAATTTGTATCTGTACCTTTTATGTGGAGGTTCGATAAATATTCGAGGCGGCTAGACAAATCTTTGGGGAAGCAAAGCCCCCCTAGCCACCACCTAATTGCGGCTATGCCTATATGATAAATATCGATTGTGAGCGGAGACAGTCTGTCAGTCTAGATTTTTCAGTAATAATAGCTTTATATTAATCTAAATATTGGTGAAATAGTATAGTGTTTAAACTTTAAAGTTTAGTAGAACACTAGAACCTACTATAGTACTAACTTACTGATTATCGGAACTAATTGGGACTGCACCTATAGTTCGGGAACGCGAAAAATCGGATATTGGAATAATTGTAGAAATAAAAATAAAACAACCTTCATTGTAAAATCTACAATAAATTCATCACTCCGCTCAGAATCTAAAATTCTTTTATCATCTATCAGAAAAAAATTGAATTATATAGATTGTGCATTTCCACTTAGGATAATGCTTTTGTTGATCGTATGAATGAACTTGAAACAGTTGAAACTGGAGCAGCGTAAGTACTTATTTTATGTTTAAAACTATCATTTTAATGTTTAAAAAAAATCAATTTGAGTCATGTTCAACCTATATCTACCTAGAAATAATTATGATTTATAATATCCATGAATTCGAGATTCAGATACGAGCTTATTTGTTAGAATTATTTATTTAAAAATTATTTCAATCTTTATTCATATAATTTACCTAAAATAATATTCTCTGAATTACACCTAATTAGGTATGATATTGGTTTTATATATTAGACTTACTAATTACTTATATATCACAGTAGCAGTTTTGAACTGGGGCGTCGGTATTATACTTATAAATTATAATTAGGGCTGGGATTTGAATACACTTTATATAATACACCTACCTATACATACCTGCCTAATCGTAATTCGTTTTATATTATCGAATTATTTATTTAAATAATTTATGAAAATAATTTTTATTCAAAATAAAAGTAGTCCAAGTCTATGAGATGTAAACTTTTTTATATAACTATATATTAAAATACTAATGCTATTACTAAAAGTTTTAGTTTTAGTCTAAAACAATAAAACTTTACGCGTAAAATACTATTCAAACACTTTTTAAACACTTGTAAAATATTTTTTTAATTTTTAAGCTCAGTTAAATAAATATTTTAGTCATTTTTTTTTTTATAGAACATTTTTTGATATTTTTTAGGGCATTAAAATGTCAGCTTTAATTATAATATATTATAAAATCAAAGCTTTAAACATTTTTTATTTGATACAGCTTATTGAATAAGAATGAAGTAAACGTTCGTGGGAGAGTTATTTATTCATTAACTACAGATGACATTGAATTAGCGGTACCTCTCAATACCACAGTAAATACTATATACAACTCAAGTTCAGAATTGGAAAACAATTTCAAGTACTTCGTCGCCTAATCATATAGGCATTTCTTCAACGAGTCTTTCCTCAGCTATGCAACTATCACCTATTGAAAACCTATCACATGATACAAATTATACAGACAATGAATATCATAATCTACATACTTCAAATTCGCCTTTAAAAAATAATGTGCAATCAGTTGAAATATCAGGTAGACGAATAGTAAATATGTTTCATTTGTTTGAAGAAATAAAAAAAATTGATGATCATTCGCAACCTTTTGATTGTGGGTTTAAAAATATGTATGTTATCGGAGAAAAAAATTGGGTTTTAAATCGATTTTCACTTTTCAATGTGCAATGTGCAACATTAAAAAAACTGTGTCTACAGAAAATGACTTTTTCATGCCAATTAATACGTCTGCAGTTCTTGGAGTGATAAGCATAGGTGGAGGTTTTAGACAGCTCGACGAATTCACATGCACTATGGAAATACCAACAATCAACCAAAAAACATACAAAATTGAGCATGATCGTATTTGTGACGGATTTGAGGAAGCCGCGGTTAATAGTATGTATGAAGCAGCTAAAACTGAAGCAGAGTTGGCTATTGCGGCAGGAGATGTAGATGTAGATGGAACGCCTCTAGTGGCAGTTGTAGCCGATGGTAGCTGGTGTAAACGGTCATATAAGACAATGTACAATTCACCATCTGGAATGGTAAGTGGTAACTATTTCTAATAATATACATTATGAACTATATATCTATTGTCAACTGAAGGGGCATGCAGGGGGTTTCGGAGGTTCAAATATAATAAATATCTTATAAAAAATATTAAATATTTATGAAATTACGCTAGACTTTTTTATGAATTTTTATCCACAAAATTAAAATAAAAAAAAAAAGGTGGGTAAGTGGATGTCGCTCTGCTGTACAGTAGGTTACAAGTGGGTCACTGTGAATGGATGCTATTAAATTTGAATTCAATGATAAAATATCATTGTATAAGAAAAACGATTCTGAGCGGAGACGGTATGTCAGTCTAGGTTTAAGACAAATTATATAGGTACATATCGATGGTGTTAAAAAAAAAATTGACCTATAATAAATTCCAAATTAATCATATCACATTATCACAATGTCCATTAGGTACTTATAACACGTTATACATCAACATCAATAACAAACCCTGATACTATCATAGATATATAATAGTACACTTTAGAAGTTTCAAGTAGGTACCCACGAATAATATTATATAATAACAACAAAATAACTAGGTTTTTTAATATGTAATTTCGTCCAAATTTGAACATAAAATGACTATAAAAATAAACTGTGATTGTATATTTTTTAGATTTTTCGGTAAGAGAATTAACTACTTACGTGGAATCTTGTTTTAAATTTTCAATCCTTAGCTATAAAAACTGAACATTTTATAATTTATTAATTACGATGACTAATAATTTTCGAGATTTTGAAAAATTCTGTCGAAATTCGATGTTTAAATGCTTATAAAAAAAAATTGTGCCTATGTATTTTCAATGTTTTTCAACTGATATTGTAACAATATATTGTATTAAATTTTTACACTTTTTGGCCAAACAGATAAAACTTTATTGATATTCATAGAAAAAAAAACTAAAAAAATTGAAAAATTAAAATATCCGTAAACAGCTCAAAAAGAGTCAAAATATTTTCAAAATTGTATGGTGTATAGGAAATGCTAATATAAACATTCAGTGAAATTTTCATGTATCTATAGTTATTCGTTTATGAATAACAACAAAATTAGGAAATCGCTACATGAGAAATCGAGTGAACATCCAATGTTGTAAAAATTTGAATTTCAAACGCTCATAAAAATTAAATTTGACAGTCCGATAGAGATTTTTTTATTGATAAAGGTAGACAAACTTTTGAGTAATCTTGTATTACATTTTCAAATCTTAGATTTAAAAAGAAAAATTTTTACGAATTCTTAACTCAAAATAATTTGCAAATTTTCGTGATTTTTCTATATTTTGTCATTTTTTGAACTTTAAATGCTTAAAAAAAAAACTGTGACTAACGATTTTTAATATTTTTCATCTGTCTTTGAAACAATATAATAGAAGCCTTGTATTAAATTTTCAAGTATTTTTACTCAATAAATAAATTTTTATTGATATTCATAAAAAAAAAAAACTAATAAAATTGGAAACTGAAAATGTCCCTAAACGGTTCAAAATAAATCAAAATATTTTGAAAATGTTATCGTGTATAGAAAATGCAAATATAAACAACCACTGAAAATTTCATGTATCTACGGTCATTTGTTTTAAAGTTATAGCAAAAACCAAATTCAATTTTCTGAAAAATCAATTTTGAGTAAAAATTCCCGTTTTTCCTTAATTTTTCATTTGTTTTTCTTGGCGCTTTTGAAAAGTACTGGGAAATTTAAATTTTGACCTCCCCAATGCACCAACGATATTCACTTTCCAATCGAACAAGATACAGAAGTTGAAAATCCAAGCATTATTTCGACTACTTATCTTGTACACGGACACAAAAAAAATTAAAAAATTAAAAAACACACATCATTGTAAAATCAATACATTCATCGTTTCACTCAGAATCTAAAATTTCAAATTACTAAATTTTATATTATACTTGGGTACCTGATTACCATTTTAAATTTTTTATATAGGTAAAATTTTAAATTAATAGGTACACGCAGTATAATATAAACTATTTGTAAAATATCAATTTAATTGTGAATTTATACATTTCCAGGCTGCATTAGTCGGATATCGTACTAGAAAAGTATTGTTTATGGGTGTCAGAAATAAGTTTTGTGCAATTTGTGCCAGAACAAAGAGTGAAGATGGGCCAAAAGAACACGTATGTTTTAAAAATTGGAAAAATTCAGATGGGTCGTCGGCCATGGAAGCATCAATCGTTGTAGAAGGGTTTAAACAGAGTGAATCAACTTATGGAATAAGGTATCACAAATTAATCGCAGATGGAGATAGCAGTGTGTACAAGAAAATTTTAGACGCCCGTCCTTATAAGAATTTAACAGTAGAAAAAGTAGAGTGTAGGAACCACCTATTGAGGAACTTTTGTAAAAAATTAAGGGACTTGTGTACCAAAAAAGATGCAGGAAAACTTGAGCATAGAAGAATATTGCAAAAAAATATTTTACGTTTAAGAAAAGGTATAATTTCGGCAACCCAATATAGAAAAAAAAAATAAATACACAGAGAAAGATCTTCAAAACGATATTTTAAATTCTTTAAACCACGTTCTAGGTGAACATAGTAAATGTGCAGATTATTTTTGTGATACAGTCGATGATATAAATTTCGCTGAAAAAATAAAAGCTACAGACCCCCTACTGTACTCGACTATTATGCATCATGTTCGTTATTTGGCTAGGCATAGTCGGAGCTTACTTCAAAACGTTGATAGTAATGTTGTCGAATCGTTGAATGGGATTATTGCAAAATTAATCGGCGGTAAAAGAATTAATTTTGCAATGTCAAGATCTTATCAAGGCCGTTGTTCCGCCGCCACGCTCATGAAAAATACAAAACGTCCTTCCTATAATTTACACAAAACTTTACTTAAACGAAGTCCAGGTACGAAAAACCCATCATCAATTCTTGAAACGCGTCGACTGAAGGAACGCATTCGTCAAAATGAATTAAGATCTAATTCTTATAGGAAAAAAATAAAGTTTCAAAATTGTGATCTTGATTCAGAATATGGTGACAAATCTCAAAAACCTGATATGAATGATGAGCAGTATAATGAAGAAAAAGAAAAAATATTAAAATCAATACAGGAAATGGCTGATAATCGAGATCAAATACAGAAAGAAACTATAGAACAAAATGCATCTAGAAAATGGTTTGAATACAGAAGAAATATTATAACGGCGTCAAATTTTGGTCGTATAATTTGTTTACGTATAGATACTGGATGTGAAGGAGTTTTGAAAAGTATGTCGTATTCATCTGACGTTGACACAAAATGTATGGAATATGGCCGAGAACACGAGCAGACGGCAAGATTAGCACTAGAAAAATTGTTGGATGTTAAAATTTATGAAAGTGGTTTATTTATCGATAAAGAAAATTACTTTTTAGGGGCAACTCCTGACGGTCTAATAGAAAGTGATACATTGGTTGAGCTGAAATGTCCTTTTTCAGCTGCTAATTTAACACCCGAGGACGGAATTCGGCAAAGAAAAATTACATTTTGGAAAATAAATAAAAGTAAAAACATATTTGAAATAAATACCAACCACAAATACTACTATCAACTTCAAGGTCAATTACACGTAACTGGCAGAAAATTTGGTATAATTGCATATTGGACGAAAATGGGTATTAAATACGAAACAATCGAACGTGATGATAATTTTTGGAAAACTATAATGTTCCCTAAATTAGAAAAGTTTTTTTTCAATTGTCTTTTACCCGAATTAGTTGACCCTAGACATCCAAGAAGCATGCCCATTCGAAATCCGTCTTACATATTGGAAGCAAAAGCAAACAAAAAAATCAAGTAACAATTGTATGTGTAATGTGTGTAAAAATATTTTTTTGTAATTATTACTAAATAAAAGCAATAAATTAGTTTATCTTTTTAGTGCATTTTTAAAACATCTAAAGATTACAGATAATACAATAAATTCAATTTAGTTGAATAACCAATTAGTATTAGTCTAAGAATTTATATTATAATATAATTTTTCATACATCAATATAATATAACATATGTAGGTAATTGAATAACAATATTTTTTACATTTGATTTTCCTTAGTGAATAATAGCACATTTAGTTTTGTGTAAATGAAGTCAGTATTCTTTTATACATCGATTTATGTCATCGATATCAACACATAAGGTACCTATAAAATTTAAGATTTTTCAGATTTTTGTATATAACTTTAAAAGGGATTTTTGATTTTTTTATTTATAGTTAGAAAAAAACCTATTAATGAAAATGTTCAATCTTATAGCTCTTTTTACTATAGTGACAATTAATTTTAATTTTTAATTTATTACTTTTTGTATAAATTGTAAAATAATATTATTTAAAATCTTTATAAATATGAAGTACAGGTATTTACTATTATGTAATCAATACAGCTGATATTTATATTAGTCTTACAACATTCAGTATTCGTATTATAATTACGCATGTTATGTGAAAAAGTAATATTAGGTACAAACTATATATATTTATAGGTATATTATTATAATAATATATGATTTTATATAAGAGAAGAAACCGAATATTATGGATTAGCCTCTTAGTCCTTTACGCCTATTTTAATAGTATATTATTTGTACATGTACTAATCTATTTAGGAACTTCTATCATATCGCGATGGTCAAATACATTGACGCGAAACGTTCAACATGACTGTCCGTGGAATAATAATGTGCCTCTCCTCACTCCTGAAATCACGACGCGCCAACACGGCCGCGGAGATAATGGGCGTGTTTACCGACTGCCGCGAAGGCGACGATACGGAAAACAACGCCATCTCTCGAGTATGAGGTCCGTTTTACATTCACTATCGAATCCCCTTAACCAAAGGCTTGGTTAGAATGTCCGCAATCTGGGCCTCTGTTCCAATGTACTGCAGTTGAAATTGTCCCTCTTCGTATTTCTCCCGTATGAAGTGGTACCGTACGTCTATATGTTTTGTCCGCTTATGAAACTCCGGATTTTTAACTAAACGAATAGCACTCTGATTATCTATAAATAATACTGGTTGTTTGTCACCTGTTGTCGATAAGCTTGTTATCAACCGTGTAATCCACAAGATCCCTTCGACAGCTTCTCTGGCCGAAATATATTCAGCCTCTGTCGATGATAACGACACACAATGTTGTCTCTGCGATGTTCATGAAATTATGCTTGACCCGTACCTGAATAGAAATCCTGACGTTGAACGTCGTGTCTGAATGTCACCTGCGTAATCTGCATCGCTAAATATTTCTAATGACAATTTTGTTTTGTTATTAAAGTACAAGCCATAATTAAATGTTTGCTTGATATATCGTATAATCCGTTTTACCAAGTTCCAATGAGCTTTAGTTGGTTTTGCTAAGTAACGACTAGCAAAGTTTACTGCATATGCTATATATGGCCTTGTTACCTGTGATAAGAACAGTAAGCTACCTACTGCCTGCCTATAAGGAATATCTTCATTCAATATTTTCATATCTTCTTTTTGTTCAAGTGTATGTGATTTGTCTATTGGTATTGAAAGTTCCTTGACTTTATTCGATCCATCTTCGTATCCTGGTGGTTGTACCATGTACATTTCTTCCTGTAGTTCTCCGTACAGAAATGCTGTCTTGATGTCGAATATTACGACATATTAACTTTTCCACAGCTGCTACTGCGAATATCGCCCTAATTGATTCGTATCTGATCACTGTCGAAAATGTTTCATGGTAATCTATACCATATTTCTGTGAACAACCTTTGATGACCAATCTGGCCTTAAACTTATCGATATTACTGTCACTTTTATATTTGGTTTTGAAAACCCATGCGTTACGTAACGCAACCTTGCCCTGAGGCAAATTAACTAGTGACCAAGTGTTGTTTTTGTGTAGTGACGTAATTTCATCACTCATAGCGTGCTCCCACTCGTTTTTCTGTGGGCCACCTATCGCTTCATCACGATTTAGTGGTTCAACGAGATTGGCGACGAACGACGACACATTATACCTGATCGGCGCTTTTAATGTATTCCGACCGTGTTGTCAACCGTCGTCAATTCGACCTTGACCGGATCGTCACCCTGGACATCAGGAATGCGTTCAACTCGGCACCCTGGCAGCTGATTGATACATCGCTGCAGTGGTTCAACACTCCCGAGCACCTGATCAACGTCATTCGATCGTACATGTCCAACCGGTCAGTCCTCATCGACAGGGACCCCGACACCAACGCAGCGCATCTCCCTGTATAGTGCGGCGTTCCACAGGGGTCGGTTTTGGGCCCCACTCTATGGAACCTCTTCAACGACGGTGATCTAAGACTCAGTGTTCCAGGCCCGACCAGGCTCATAGCGTTCGCCGACGACGTGGCCGTCGTCGCAGTGGCCCACAATGCGGAGCTACTGGAGCTGGCCATGAATTCAGCACCCTCGGCCGTCATCACCTGGATGGCCGAAAACGGACAGTCGCTGGCCCCAGAGAAGTCGGAGAGCATCGTGCTGACCAACAAGTACGCCTATCGACAACCAGAGTTTGCCGTGAATGGCTGTCCCGTTCCGGTGAAGAGTTCACTCCGCTACCTCGGCGTTCACCTGGACACCAGACTGTCCTTCGTGGAGCATGTACGTGTGCTAGCTGCTAGGGTCAAGAAGGCAGCAACCGCCCTGGGTAGGCTCATGCCGAACACCGGAGGTCCCACTCAGTCCAAGCGTCAACTCCTGATGAGCGTCGTACACAGCAGGCTGCTGTATGGGGCCCAGGTCTGGGCGGACGAAGTCTCCAGTACTAAAAAGGCAAAGAGCCTAATGACCCAAGCCCAGAGGTGCGCAGCACTGAGAGTGGCTCGCTGCTACCGCATGGTCTCGGACATGGCAGCGCTAATATTGGCAAGAATGCCTCCGGCCCCACACCTGGCGCACGAGAGGAAGAGCTACGCAGATTCGAGGAGAACAGGCACGCCCCACGCCAAATTAGAGTTGCGGAAAGAGGTCATTCACCAGTGGCAGTCCACCTGGGATGCCACCAGCAAGGGTTCATGGACGAAACGGCTGATCCCGGACGTAGGCAGATGGTGGTACTACGGCCCCAAGACAACCACATACCGTATGTCGCAGGCACTGTCGGGTCATGGTTGCTTTCAAGCATACCTATTCAAGAGGGCTAGAGCACAAAGTCCGGCGTGCATGCATTGCACCGCAACCCACGATGACGCAGAGCATACCATCTTCAACTGCCCCTTCTGGAACGATTCCAGAGCGGAACTGACAAGATCCCTCGGCAGACCATCTCGCCCCGAGGATGTGGCTGACCTATTGTGTGGTCCTATTCAAGAGGATCTGCCAACGGAGAGATGTCAGCAGGTCAGGTTGTTGGCGGCAGCAAGGAGGAACTCAAGCTATTTCGCAGAAATGGTTCAGTCCATATTAGGCCAAAAGGAGACGCTGGAGAGAGCGAGGCAGAAAGCGGCAGCAGCAGCCACATAAACATAAACTAGTTAAGCAAATAAATGTAGGCCGAAGGCCAAAATCAGGGCTGTTAGAGGCCCCCATTTCTTTTTAATTGTAAAAATTAGTTAAGTTAAGTATTAATTGTATTTGCTGTTACTGTGTAAATAAATGATGTGACCAGGGAGGCTACAATGGGAACACCATATTTCCCTCCCTGGCCACGATTCCAAAACGAAAAAAAAAAAAAAAAGGTAGGTATTTGGTATTATAGTCATTTTAATCTTGGTTGAAAGTAATGAACAGCAAACATATACTCTGGGATATAATGTATAAAATATAATATAATATGCTATTTTATAATTTGTTTTGTTATTCAACTAAATATTGAGACAAAAAAATTAAGAATAGGTGGGCACTATTCACCTATCTACTATTCAAAATCAGAACACTTAGTTGTATAGGTATTGTATATAAGATTTTGTAAAATTTAATTTATAATTCTTAGATATTTCATACCTTCAGGAAGTAACTTCAGCTGTTGATTCAAATAATAAAACAGATGAACTTAATTGTAATTTAACTAATGAAGTTCATCACACCAATGGTTTCTTACAAATATGTACAGCAAGTATAGAAAGAAGTTCTTTTAAAGATGACTTATGTAAATGGGTAGTCGAATGCAATGTGCCCCAAGCTACTGTAAACAAATTATTGCATTTTATGAAACTCAGAAATATTATAAATACCAATGAGCTGCCATGGGATTCTCGGACTTAATTATCTACTCCTCGCACTAAAACACCAAACATTCGTGTGGTCGAGCCTGGTCATTATTATCATTTTGGCTTAGCAGGAGGAATTATTAGACACGCATCTTCACATAATTTGTCAGAAATAAAACTAATGATTGGTATTGATGGATTGCCTATTGCAAAAAGCAGTAATTCTCAGTTGTGGCCCATTTTAGTTTATATTGAAAATACAACTAAAATTGTTTTTCCAGTTGGTATTTACCACGGTTATTCTAAGCCAAAGAATAGTAATATGTTTCTAGATGATTTTATATCAGAAGCAATAAATCTTATAGCGAACGGTATTGTTTTAAATAATTGTACAAAAAAAGTATCAATAAGTGGGTTTATTTGTGACAGTCCGGCTAAGGCATTTTTATTGCAACTGAAAGGTCATTCGGGATTTTCGTCATGCACTCGTTGTATCCAAGTAGGCGAATACTATAAAAATCGTGTCTGCTACCCTTATTGTAATTTTTCTCATAAAAGAACACATGAAACTTATATAAAAAGAAAATACGAGGACCACCATATTGGAGATACACTTTCAAGGCTTATATAAATACCTGGTATAGATATGGTTAGAATGTTTCCACTTGATTATATGCATTTAGTAACACTCGGAGTTGTAAAAAAATTAATTATAATTTGGTTGCACACTGGTCCAGTTCAAGTTCGCATCCCAGGCCGCATGATAAATGCATTAAGTACTTCACTATTGAACATAAAATCATGCATTCCTTCTGATTTTCCTAGAAAAACTAGAGTAATACAAGATTTTGGTTTTAGATTTTTAGATTTAGATTTTTCAAGCTAGTGAATTAAGATTTTTTATAGTTTATATTGGACCGATTGTGCTTAAAAATATTATTACTGAAGATGCATATACTAACTTTATGGCTTTACATGTGGCAATAATAATATTAATTAGTCCTGATTATTCTTGTTATTTAAACTATGCCAAAGAGTTACTAAATTACTTTGTTAAATCATTTGAAATAATTTATGGTCGTCAGAATATTTCACAAAATGTCCATGGTCTTTTACATTTGACAGATGACTATGAACACTTTGGTCCTCTGGGCAATTGTAGCGCGTTTCCGTTTGAAAATGTTATGAAGGAATTAAAGAGTAATGTAAGGAAGCATGAAAAACCTCTTGAACAGTTCATTAACAAATATAAAGAAATGTATGAATTACCTATGACATTACCAAGTGTATCAATAGAACTACAGATTATGACTAAAAAACATACACATGGACTAGTTGACAATATAAAAGGACTTGTTGAGTACAGATTGATAAAACGCCGCCTGAACTATACGGCTTCAAAGACGGTCGACATAGCGGTCTATGATCGGCGGTGTCGTCATCGAACCTTGGAACACGCACGTCGTTTGAGCTGTGTCTCGTGCAGTTTTGCGGAGTAATTTCGGTTTTCTTTTTAACTACAATTCACTTATTCAAAACCTGGGCTGTTCCTCGATCGCCACCATATCCACATTGGACTACATGATATTCAAGCGCTGGTCAACGGGAAGTTGTCGATTGTAGAGGTTTTGCCATTCATTGCCGCCATCGATTATTCATCAAGGGTGTTGTGAGTCGGCTTTACGCCAACAATTATTGTCAAAATATTTATTACTGAATTCGTTATTATTATTATTTAAAAACCATTGTATCCATGCTATTAACATAGTTCGTAAGTAGGCCCGTACGAGTTTTATTATTATTTATTATAATTGAGTATTGAAAATATCAATCCAACTTATAATATATATTTCAAGCATTGAATTTATTGATTAGGGACAGTATCGGGTAAAATTTAAATTCATCCGCACACGACGAAATTATTCTCCATGGTTGATAACCCGGAATAATACGTCAAACAGGACTACAGTTTAAAAAAATTCTGTTCAATAAATTTAAAATTGACACTACAGTTATTAATAATAGTTACATAATGACCAATAACAGTGAAATTTTTCAATGTTTGAATATTGTAAAAACAGACAATGGTAGTATTAAATTAATAGGAAAAACATTTGAGAAGAAAGTAGCATTATATGATAAGCCTGCAGATTCTACAATTTTTTTATATATATACAGTACATGCACTTAGTAATGTGCTAAAATGCTGGGACTATTTGGAAATAAAAAAAAAAAAATAATGATCATTAAACATGATAATAAGTTAGTTGCAATGCCAATACTTCATACATCATTGTAAATACCTACATTGTTTTCATTTTTTTGTTATAAAATGTTTTAATTATTATTTTATGTAATTTTTTAATTTTTAATTTGAGACAAATATAAAAATAGTTAGGTACCTACTATTGTTTTGTATTGAAATAGGATTAGTTGTAATTTTATTCATTTAAAAATAATTTATTTATATTTATAATATTAATTTGTATAAATGTATAGCATAAATATTTGGGTACATACTAAATAATTATCTACCCCTGTTATTTGGAGTCTGGCATCGATCAAGTTTTTAGAGCTACATATTGTAAATTATTCGGGTATTATTTTAAAATAATTACTTGATAATTATGTACATTAATAAAATTATTATTTAGATTAATTCAAATCATGTGGATAGTGGTTGATTTTGTTAATGACAATGCTGTAGAGGCAGTACCTGAAACATGGTATGAAAAAAAAATCAAACCTGTGCTTAGCCGCTTACATCAAAAAATTTGAAAAAATATATTGCTAAACAAGATTATCCTGACAAAAATAATTATAAGTGGTTTCCTGCAAGGGTTCTTAGAAGGAAATATGGTATTTACATATTTTTGAAATATATATTGATTTTACCTATAACATTATAAATAGGTATAAATATAAATTATCTATTGTTGGTTTGTGTAGCAACTATAGAAGAAGCTCGAAGTAAGTCGAAAATTGCACAAATTCAGTCTGAACTCTCTGCCAACGATGAAGATTTACAAAATAAATCCAAACGTATTGGAAGTCCTCCTTTGTTAAAGCCAAGTAAATGTTTTTTTTTAACTTTATTTTTAGTTGTTTTTAGTTTTAAAGATATTGTCATAAATATGCTATGAATAATAAAGTATTGTTATTTTTATAGGTAAAATCAGAAAAATAGAAAATAAAACAAATTATAATTTAAAAACTAAAATAAATTATAATAATGATACTCCTGAATCGGATATTGATAATTCCCAACCTATGATTATAGATGGTATTAATTAATATTATTATTGATACTATGATAAAAATAAAGTATAGTTAATAAATGAAAATTTAAATTTAAATTCTGTAGGTAAAATGAGAAAAACTGATAATCAATCAAAACGTGTGTTTGACAAAATTGACAATAATGATTCAGATATTGAAGATGGTCATGATTCTGATAAATACCCTGACTATCATAAATCAATCAGTGTAAATGGTATGTATATATTTAGCTATATAATTTGTGTTTTACATTATAATATTTATTTCAAACAAGTACACATACATTTTTTTTGTGAACTGTTCCATCAGTATCACAAGGAATGACTAATCATAATAACAAGTATGTTATGAATTCTGCTATTGGGAAAATTTCTATTGAAGAAACTAATCTATCCATTATGTCTTCTATGCCTCCAAAACAACCATTAATTGAATCCATTACTTTGCCATCACCTCAACGTTCAAACACTACACCATCATCAAATCCTAAAAAGAGTTTTATTTTCAACTGTTGGGTCCAAAGGTAAAATCTAAATTAAAGCTGTATTTCCTAATGATTTTTAATTTGTCTTTTGCTTATTAGGGTCAAATAATCGTTCATCTAAGTATAATACAAATGTGTATTATATGCCTAATGCAGGTATGTGTATTATTATGTTGTATAGAATGTATCAATGAAGTATATTTAAGAATCAGAAAATCAGACCTCACTTATAATTGTATTACAATAATTCTTATTTTATTTGTAATAATAGCTAGGCAGTAACACACATTACACTATATAAGTTGTACAGATTTGTATAATTTTACAGTAATTATTTTAAACAAGTACACATATATTTATTTGTTAAAAGTTCCATCAGTATCACATGCAATGACTAATCGTAATAACAAGTATGTTATGAATTCTCCTATTGGGAAAATTTTGATTGAAGAAACTAGTCCATCTATTATGTCTTCTATGCCTCCAAAACAACCATTAATTGAATCCATTACTTTGCCATCACCTCAACGTTCAAACACTACACCATCATCAAATCCTAAAAAGAGTTTTATAAATGAGTTCAATAAATGATTGAATATATTAATTTGCCATCGCCAGTATCTCATCGTTCAAACAATACACCATTAACTCGTCCTATAAAAAGAGTTTCATTTCCAACTGTTGAGTCCCAAGGTAAAATATAAATTAAAGCTGTATTTTCTAAATGATTTTTAATTTATATTTTGCTTAATTATAGGGTCAAATCGTTCATCTAAATATAATACAGAATATGACTGTGGCATGACTGATACAGGTGTGTATTATAAATATCTTCTATATTGAATGTATCAATTAGTCATTGTTATTGTTTGGTAGTTACGTAAGAAACAGCAACACTGCGATAAGCAGATGCCGCCTTCCCGCTACTCTCGGTAACCGGATTAGTTCGTGCCCGCACCTAGCCGTTGCCAGTGTCACGCGACGTGAATATTGTCGTTGGTTTTTGTTGTTTTTATCCCATGTTGTTTTTTATTGTGCGTTGTGTCTCGTAAAAACCCGTCACCGTCCTACCCATCACCGCCGAAGTCACCGTCTTACCCATCACAGTCGAAGTCACCGTCCTACCATCACCATCGAAGCCACCGGCATTGGCTGCGTACGTCTTTGTTCTAAAACTTTATTATAATTTCTTATGTTATTTATATTCGTCATCCCCGACGAATCCCCCAGATTGGCCAGTCCCTGTGTAACCATTTACTTGTACCTAAATTTGTTTTGTTTTGAATTTTTAAAAATAGTAGTCCACCGCTCACGGCAAAAATCAAAAATACAGTTGTTACCATTTATTTACACAATACAGTCCACTAACCTAAACTGAGCTAACATTTGGTCCTTCGGGCCGGATATAAAAAAAAATTACTATTTAATATTCTAAGTGATTTGAATCATTGTTGGATTTTAGACATTTAATCATTAGTTGTATGATCATTGAATTAGACCATTACGTAATAATTATAATATGACAATTGTAAGTGTCTACTGAGTATTATGATCGATTTGAACTTTGTACTCATTAGGCTCTAATTCTGTTACCACTCCAATCGCTAGGCGCCAAGCGGTCTGAGCGAATCTTCACTCCCCGTACCGCGAGAGCAACGTGGATCCGCACTACCTGTACGTAATTATAAACGGTGCACAATACGTTTGGTAAAAAAATAAACTAGGTCACGTATTTATACACGTAAAATTTATCGTTGCAATTTCTTATACACATACAATATTCAACAATGAGCGTTTATGAAGAAGCAAAACCTCGCATATCAAACTTGATGAACTCGTCGTGTGTATGATGCAGGGGAGGCAATCAA